CCGAAGCCCAGCAGGTCGAGGCTGCGGTGGCCAGGCGTGTGCCACTGCATTCCAGTCTGGTTGACAGAGTGAGACTCCAACTCAAAAAAAAAAAAAAAAAAAAAAAGAATCTAAAGCATAGGTTCTTTGAGTCGCCAATAATGGCCCATCCATATACTTTAATAATAAATTGGGCAGAATAAATTCATTAATTGTCCTTCCTACCTGTTAACATTAATTCCTAATACTATCTATAATTACTGTCTTTGAAAAACTAGGACATTAAAACTATTAGGACAGTTGCATCCATGAAAGCTAGAGATAATCAAAAATTTCAATGACAGAAAAATGTGTACTTTAGGATAACAAACAGATTAACTTGCCTCAAAATAAGACATAAAAAAGAAAGAATAAATATTTGATGGACTTTTGAATGCCAAACATCACTGGAAAATCACTGTATATTTTATGAAGAATTAATAGCCAATTTCAAAATATTTTTTTTAATGTGAAGAAAAAAATGTTTGTTCATTCGGTATGAATTGGAAAAACCAAGAAGCTATAAAATATATTTTTCATTTTAAGGGGAAAGGTTTTAGTGTGGATAAATCCAGACTTACACGTTTCATTATCTAATGCTGAAAAAAGAAATAAGATAATTGAATAACTGAATAATTTGTCAAGTAAATTTAGACATTTCTGAAAGTGAATTAATTTACTACTAATAAGAAAGCTGGGACAATAGGCAGGAATCCATGTAACCTGTACAATTTGGTATGCTTGCTCAGCATACTCATGAATGTCTCCAAAAGGCACAGCCCCAAAGCAAAACAATTACTATTCCCACAAATCACTTCTTTCCAAGCTGCTTACTCAGGAGAATGTGAAGTGCTGGGCCTGCAGAAATCAGGGTGGCTACCTATTCTCATTGCCTGAAGAAAAAAATCTAAAAAAAGTAAGCCTTGTCTTTACACACAGAATTTTAGCCATTTTAATATCAGAAACTAAGTATAATTCAAGACTATAAAATCCATACAAATATCAACTAAGTTTTCTCCCATCTATTTTGTTTATTTATTTATCCATTCACTCATTCATTCATTTATTTATTTTAGAGTTGTGGGGTGCCTGGAAAGATTTTCTGCACAAGTAAATTGCTTGCAGGTGAGGTTTGGACGTCTAGTGAGCCCACTCTTTCCCTGTTAGTGAACATAGTACCCAGTGGGTAGTTGTGTGCCCCTTCTCGCTTCTCCCTTAGTACCTCCCTCTTTCCATTACCAGGTTCCAGCATCAGTTGTTCCTGCCTCTGTGCTTACATGCCCAGTGTTTAGGGTCCACTTACTAGTGAGAACACATGGTGTTCAATTTTTTGCTTCTGTGATAGTTCACTTAGAATGCTGGTCTACAGTTGCATCCACATTTTTGAAAGAGAAAAATAAAGCCATTAGTAAAATCCCTGAATCATGTCTACACGGTTAACATTGTAATTTTTTTTTTTACTGGAGAATAAAATACTTTTCAACTTTTATTTTTATTTTTACTTTTATAGAAAGCAAAATATCAATAGAAGCATAATTGGAGTTAGGGTGGGATAAAGACTTTTAATGATTGTGCTTGTAGAAAACAGTCTTTCCTTTTTCTAGAGAAATGTAAACATGTTCAAGCCTACTGCCCCATAGTTTCACGAAGATTTGAAGCATGACTTAGTTAGAAACACCTGCAAGAAACCAACTACAATTCAAGAATTTCATAGACTTTTGGGTTTCTTTATACTTCACTTTGTCAAAATATTTTGCAGTATTTTTACTTTTTTCATCTAAAATTCATCAACATTTGTTAATTTTTTTATTAAAAGCTAATTTTCTCTTCATCCATAGTTTCACTATAGCAGCATAATAATTTTTAAATATTGAAAATATACTTCAGTGCATAACAAATAATTTTCATTTTAGTATATTTTAATGTATTTCTTTACCAAAAACTTTGTGTTTTATAACATTAATTCATTTAATCATCACTACAAGCCTGTGCATTAGATACTGTTTTTAGCCCCATTTTCAGAGAAGGAAATTGAGGTACAAATATACCCAAGGTCAATTAGCTACTCTGTGGTGAAGCTGCCATGTGAACGAAGGCACCTGGCTGTGGGTTCTGAGCTATCAATCATTTATCTTTCCTTTCTCCTATGTGATCTTCAGTAACTAAACCTGTCTGTGAGCATTATAAATATCCCATGGCATACATCTTTCAAAAATAAGAAATGTAGGACTGAGAGATATAACTTGTGCCATGTCCCATCTACATGAAGGCATAAATGGCATTATTTTATTTATGTTCCCAAGTGTTTAGCTACTCTAATCTAGTGCTCTGGCATGGCAAATTTGGTTTAAACATTCTCCAGCTATTGACCAACAAATATTTAGTTATTTTTCACATGAGTGCACAGGTTAGTGTGCCAAGAAAAATGCTAAAATAAAAACAGTAATAATGAATGTCTTAGTCTTGCCCTTGACATTTATATGAGCAAATCTAGTAGGTCACATTTGAATTTATCTAAATCTTGTTGTAAATTAGCATGTATTTGTAAATTGATCCTTTAACAATTACTTTTAAAATTACTTTCTTATAATTATATTCTCTTTACTCTTCTGGGTTTTATGATTAATAAACTTTTTCCTCATTTTCTATTATCACCTAGTCTACAAATAATTTGTGTTATTTTTATTTTATTCAAATAATTTTAGAATTTATCATTTCTATGCTTTTTATAGCCTGCTTTTATTTATCTTAATGTATCTCCCACTGAAATTTTTTTCTCATTTTTAGCAAACATTTAAAAAATTATCACCCAAAGCTCACTACCACGTGCTACTATAGCCTGTCTTAAAACACCTCCCCTTGCCTCCCCTCATTTCTTGCCACTCTCCCCTTTACTTACCAAAATCCAGCAAAACTACTTCTTATTTTCTTCATAAATCAAACAAATTTTTGTCTCAGAACCCTTGCAGACCTCTTTGTATGGCTACTTCCTTTTCTTATTTAGGTCATATTTAAAATGCTGACTTCTTAGAAATCCTTCTCTGACCATTCCAGCTGAGACACCCATTCCCCATTCTACCTGGTCACTCTCCAATGTCTTTGCCCTATTTTATTTTCTTCATAGTAGATAGCACTATTTGATATTATATTTTAATTTGTTGATTTGCAAGTGGATCATCAGTCTCCTTGATCCAAACTTTAAGTTATATTTTAAAGAATATATGTCTGCTTGTTTACAGTTGCATTGCCAGCACCCAAAACAATGGCTAGTGCTAACAAATAGGTTAGTTTCTTCCTAGTACAAATAGTTTTTAATCAAAACATGTTTTAATTTCCAAATAATTACAGAATTTACTCATTAATTTTGTTATTTTTATAACAAAATTAACTTTTATTTTATTTTTAAGATAATTCTATTATTAACTTAATACATAATAAATTTAATTATTTAATACAGTCTTAGCATTTTTTTTAAATTTAAAGTAAGCTCATTTACAATTGTTCATTCAACACATTTTTATTGAACACCTATTTGGTGAACTGGAATGCAGCTTGAAAAAGTAGATGTTTTTGTGTGTTTTGCCTTTAATGAGGTCGTTCTTTAGTAGGTTATTAGCAATATTACAAAAGTAGAATATCCTTAGGTTTTCTCCCTAACTGAAGATGCCTTTATAAGCTTCTAAATTGTAACTTAGAAGGCCAGGAGATACGAGTTCCATTTACAAATGCAATTGTCAAGCAGACTGAAAGAAGAGAAGAGTCCTGGAACTAGGCGGCAACCTAGCAAAGGAACTTTGGTTATTTGTTTTCTATGTTTGTTGAAGTCACAGATGTTTGCATCACTTTACCCTTTCTTTAGTCCAGAGTCACAGTATGGCTGTGGTCGGCCTTCTTCCTGGTATTTCTGCTCACTGAAGAAAGGAGGAAACACTCAAGTAGGAGAGCAGGTCTTTGAATTCCTTACATACATAAAAAGCTGCATCTAAGAAAAGACCTCACCCCTCCACTTTGAATCCTACCTGCTGCCTGCCTCTTCTTTTTATTTTTATTTTTTATTATTATTATAAAGATGTGGAGTACAATTCAGGATTAGGTATACAAATGTTGATTATGCAGGTACCCTTGTTGATGAGGTGTGTCCTTCCCTCCCCTTGCAGTAGGATAAGGTGGTGAAAGTGACTCTCTGTACATCTCTTTCACAGCCATCCTAACAATAGCCTCCAAAATAGAGGAGTATGTCATGCTCCTTAAAACTTAGATTACTTTCCAAATTTCTTCACCAAGTGTTCTGAGATGAGAAAAAGAATCAGAGCTTGATATCTTACATCAATCCAGTGTATTTAACATGTCTATCACAACTTCCCATCAAGTGAGAGTTCTGTGACAGAATCATTTCTTGTTGTGGTGTATTTTTCCTAGATTTGTTAAGTGTATTTAATTATGTTTCTACTGATGGTTTTTTAAGGTCTTGTTCTTTTTTCTTTTTTTTTTTTTTTTTTTTTGAGTTGGTGTCTCACTCTGTCACCCAGACTGGAGGGCAGTGGCCACTCCCAGCCACCACAGCTTTGACCTGCTGGGCTCTGGTGATCCTTCCACCTCAACCTTCCAAGTAGCCGGAATTACAGGCATGCGCTACCACGCCCAGCTGATTTTTTGATTTATTGTAGAGATGAGGTCTCGCTCCCCAGGCAGGTCTCAAACCCACGGGCTCAGGCAATCCACTCACCTCAGCCTCCCAGAGGCGCGGGTTTACAGGCTGAGCCACCGATCCTGGCTAAGGTCTGCTTTTATGCCACCCTCTAGCTTTCAACTCTCTTCTCTTTAATCAAAAATAGGTCAGTGTGTAATTTTTACAATCGTATTCTCAACTCTGAGTCGCTGATACTCATTAAATGTGGATGCTTCTTTTTCCATAAAGAGAAATGACAATCATGTTTCCTGATGACAGAAGTATATATTTACTCTCCTGTGTTTTACCTTACCTGAACCATATTTATTGCATGTTGTATTCGTGCATCTTTCTCATAATCCTTTGTTTTCTGTAACATTTGCCATATTATATTTCTAAGCCCATCCTGTTCCTCATCTCCTTGAAGTTCCCATGACATTTTTGCCAGGTTATATATTAAGCCATAGTATCCAGTCCAGACCACTTGATCACCTGTTTAAAAAACATAGTCTTCAGGGGTAAATCATTTTATTCACCTTGCTAGAGCATGGGTGAGGAAAAAAAGAAGAAACCCAATTTTACTAAAATAGTTAATAATTTAATATCTGAAATTTTAAAATTATTATTTATTTTTTAATTATAAAGATGTGGGGAACAATTCAGGGTTAGGTATACAAGCATTGATTATGCAGGTACCCTTGTTGATGAGGTATGCCCCTCCCTCCCCTAGCAGTTTCCCTCAACTGCCAATCTCAGCCCCCTCCCCTGACAGTTTTCCATTATTGCCAAACACTTTCTTATAATTGTCTAAGGTCCAATTATGAGTGAGAACATATGGTACTCTCTTCTTTGTTTCTGTGATAGATCACTGAGTGTGATCGACTCCAAATCCTCCCAAGTTGCTGCGAAATCCATATATTTGTCCTTCTTTATGGCTGCATAATATTCCATTGTATATATGTACCACATTTTCTTTATCCAGTCCAGCTTCAATGGGCAACATCTGAAATTTTAAGCTTTGAAAATTTATGACTCCTCACTGTTTTTACTACTTTACTTTTAAAAGATCACAGATTGGCCATTGCTTTGTTAAACTCTGCTCTGTTGTCTCCATGTGATTATTGGAACTATAGCTGCCATGTTTTCTTAACTTTGGCTCCCTCCCCTACCTTGGGGATGTGAATCTCTTCTCTCTCTCCTTCTCTCTCTCTTATTTACTTTCTAGGTAAACTGCTTGAAAACTTAAAAAAAAAAGATCACAGATCATTTAAAAACTTACAACCACATTGAAAAAAAAACTACACCTAACTAATAAATCTCATAAATTTAAAAGTAAAATGAGGTATGCAATCCTGACTTGTACCCCACAGCTTTATAATAAAATTAAATTTTTTTTAAAAAAAGTAAAATGGGAAAACTGTGAACTACATAATAAAACCAGATCCTTAAAATTCAAGTAAAGAGAAATTTGTGTAAGGCAATATGAACACTTAGATCTCTCTGGCAAATTTTTATAATAATTTAAAGAAATAGGAGAAAAATTACTTCCTGTTATAAAAACATCAACCCTTATGCAACATGGCATTTGTACCAATATAAAAACTTAAATAATGTGAAAGACAAAAATTACTGATATAATCATAGTCTTTTAAAAAAATAATAGGGACACAGATCAATTGGAAAAGGGGAAAGGGAGTAATGAATGCAGAGAAGATTTTTAAAAACTCTAAGACACTCTTTCTTATAAAACTTATATAACAATTAGCAATTTACATACATTATCAAATTTCACTTCCAAAACATATATTTTCCTTACTATAAGGAAGAAAAAGTTTCTATTTATTCTTTATATTAATTATGTTTTACCCAACTATGGTATATTGCTATGCAATAATAACCTGAAAAAAATCCTAATTTAGGTAGAGATGGCAGAAATAAATTTTGGAAATAAAATAATACAGTCATGAGAGGGGAAATAAACTTACTCAAAGATCAGCATGAAAATACTGAGTGTATGTGAGATAAGAAGAATAAAAGAAGAATCTGGGAGAGTTTTAAAGCCCATTAAATTCCATATTGCAGTTTTCCCAAAACTCCTGGTGATGGACCACATAACATTGGGGATTGTCAATGCCCTTCTTGAATAAAGACACAGGCACTACCTGAAAAGTTACAATTCTCTACTTCTCCTAATTAATCTGGTTTTCATTATAAAGGATAATCGAATCATCATTATTATCATTATTACAACTAGGATACAGAAGAGTACCAATGATGTGCCCCAATTCTAGTCTTCACTACAGTGCTGCTTATGTAGATCTTTTAGTACTGAAAATAATAAAAAGAAACATATGAACCTGAGCTTGGGTAGAAAGCTCCCTACCATCATTCACTGTTGAGTGAGTGATGGAGCAGGTAAAAACTACTCTAATCTTGTCCCATGCAGCACAGCTTCTCCAACGAAGACACAAACTTTTCTTCCCAATCACCACCTTCCATTACATTCACAGAAAAGGAAGAGGCTGAGAGACAGAAAGAGGAGGCAGAACATATTTTTTACATATTTTAGAAGTGAGAGGAGAATGATATATTGTAAGTCTAGCTTACAATCTTAAGGCACTGTCTATCTTTACTATTGTTGGCACTTTAGGGGGAAGAAAATACAAACTGCAAATAGGAAGCTACAGTTAAGCAGTCAGTTCTTTTGGAAATGTCATTTTCCAACAAAGAAGCCTTACGAGTTAAAATTAGGGTACTACAATATTTGAAATTTATGTAAATAAATGGAAAGTCCTTTGGTTGAATGGTTAATATTTTTGCACTAAAAGTTTAGAATATAATCAAGAGGCACAAATGAAATTTTTTTTGATATTTTCTTTTTGCATAGTATTGACTAAGGTGAGAAAAAGATAATCTATAGTTTCAAGTAATTGACAAGTCTGGGAGAATGGAATAATTTGTAAGCAACATCAAAGGACAACAGTTCAATAAAAAAATGATGGTCATTCATGTAATTGGACCACAAAAACAAGAGATCAGCGAGGGCTGGAAGAGTAAGAAAAGGCCTTGGAGAAGGTAAGATCTTCAGAACTTGTCTAACAGGTAAATTTTGAAAAAGTGAGGAGGAAGATACTGTGGGAATATTTTAGTTGGAAGGATATCTGAAAAAAAGTATAGCTCTGAATATTAATACTGTAATAACATCCTACTTGTTCCTTTATCTTGCTGCCTTATTACACCCTACTTCACTATTACTAATCCCATATTGTGCAAAGTAACCCTTCAAAATCTGATTGTGTTATTTCTCTACTCACAATTTAGCAAAGAATTACCATTTGTCCCTGTGTAAATTCCAAATCATATAGTCAGACAATTACAACTTTGTCTTTCTAATATGCCATCTTTTTGGAACACTTTTATCACCACTCATTCATCCCCATTCTCTTGCTAATACACTACAAACAGATAAAACTACCTGAAGTTCTAGAATACACACTTCAATTATGAGCCTTTGAAGTCATTCTGTCCAAAAATACATCCTCACTACACCTGACTTTTATCCATTCTTTTGCATCCTCTGTACAAGAAAGCCTTCTCTGAACCTCCACAGCTAGTTAGGAGCCCTTGAACCTACTTAATATTATAATGTATTATGTCATGGTGTAATTGCATGTCTCACCCATAAATTCCAAACTATTGGAAAACTGGGAATATATTTTATTCACGCTTACATCCCTAGCAGTTATCCCAGTGCCTAAAAAACAGTAGATCTAATTTCTAAAATTTCATTCATTGAATGAGGGGAATAGACAGAGTGAACAACTATGTCTGTTTGCCTGAGACTGAGGAGTTTCTTGGAACAACGATTTTCGAGGACAAAATCAGCACAGCCTCAAGCAAATAAGAACAATTGGACAAGAGTAGGACTCCATGCAGTGAGGTATCTAGAGAGAGAGAGAAAGGAAAGGATGATAGTGAGGATCTCAAATTGAGCTGAAGTAAGAAGTTTATATTAAAAATATAATAACAACTAAAGGTATGGGGTTAGATTAAATGGTAGATGTTTGAGCAAAGGAGTGATGTTATGTCTGCACAATGCAATGTTATGTCTATTCAAGCAATAAACTAGAAAACCAATATGAGAGTTTATGAGGTAATCTAGATCTTTACTGTGATGGGCAGCAGAAGATTGAAGAGTAAGGAGCAAACCTAAGACACTATGGAGAAGATCTAATAATATTTCCTAGTTAAGGAAGAAGAGGAAGAAATAAAAAGAGAATGAATAGGTACATTTTTAAACTCAGGAGACTGAAACAGTAATAAAACCACTTGCATAAAGGAGATGATTATATACAGGAGTCAGTTTGGGAAGAAAGTACATGAATATTATTTTGAAAATGTGGCATGGAGAAGGGAAAATCTAATTTTTAATGTCCTATAGCTTGATGTAAAACAATGGCTAGAATGCAAGTAAAATAGCAAGAAGAAGTGAGGTTATTGATATGTGGATCATTAGCTTGAATTCAGTATGAATAAGAAAACAATTATGAGTTTTTAAATTACTAATTCTGGAACTGTGAGCCTCAGGGGGAAAAGTAATTCTTGAGAAATATTACAAATACAATATACTGTGAATTTTAACTCATTTCTAAATTTATTTACATACTTCCAACTTCTTTACGTTAACACAAATGGTCGATAAAAATACATACAAACCGTCATCCTCTATATATTTTAAATTATTACTTGTTGAAGAATAATATTTTATAAGCCTATAATAGCTGAATAATCAAACCAAATGTGGTTTGGTTTTAGAATCCACAAGGCCAATAATGAACCACAAAACATATTCTGATAATTATATTCTCAAAACTCACAATTCTTTTTAAAATTCCATTTACGATTTTAAAAGTGAGCTGTTCACCTGTTGACTTAAACTCCAGTGAAGTGCTGCTGCTGAATAATATTTGAAGAGAGAATCTATTACATCCAATTGACTGACAGTTAATGAAGGAAAAAACCCTTATAAGGACAGATGGTATGTTTTACAACTGTCATAAACAGTAGACTGCTTTCTAATCTGTGTGTCTAGACATTTGCTGAGAAGCATGTCTGCTAGAGACGCCTCATCCAGGGACCAAGCTGTAGAATGAGGCACTCTTCTGTTCTGCTTTGAGTGACCCTGTGGCAGCTATCAAAGATGTCACTTTAACTATACTGAGAGAAAATGTGTCTGTATCTGCACATAAACAGACAATATCCTACGAAATATAAAATCCAAACAAAAACAAAGTTCTTAATAAATTTTGAACTTAAAAACCAGCATTATAAGGCTTTCTTTGTAACAATGATTTATTTCAGCATTTAAACTTTTTGGTAGCCTTTAATTACCACTCTAGATATTTAGATTTGACTTATTCAGTGAAAGTAAAATGTGAATATTTCTACTTATATAAATGAGTATACATGAGTATAACCTTTACAATTTTGAC